GCTTCTTCCCTGCTCAGGCATCCTGCCCTTTGGGTTATGATGCTTTCTCTGCATGCTCTGAGTGACCATTTTTCGCTTCAAAGAAAGCTGAGGTCTGATGGCCCAAAACAGAGCAAGGGCTGTTTTTCAAACTCATTCTTGACCCATAGACAGCAGTGCTAACATGGAGCATTTCTGCTCTTCTTCCTGGTATTTGGGTGTTTACAGGCAAAGGGACCTAGAGAAGTTTGTTTTACGTCTAGTTCCCTCCTGGGAAGATCCTGAGGGAATTCTTGTCATAACTGTTGGTTTGTAAAAGCTAGTGAGGCAGAGCTCTATGTTCAGCCACAGAAAAATCTGGGCTGGAGACCCCAGAAGGAGGTCAACAAGGGATGGCCAGATGTTCTACCACATGGCACACTGCCCATTGCAATGGTCCTCCTGAGCTTCTGCTCTGTACGTGCAACCCTGGTCCTTTCTGAAAGCTGAATCCTTTCCCTGCCCCGTGTATGCCCCACACAAATGGGAGGAAGAAGTGGAAAGAAAAAAAGGCCTTTGGGGGAAGAGTGCTCATCTCGTCTTTGTAACAACTCCCCTGTTGTGCTAGGGGGAAGGACTTTGGTCATTTTCACTTGCACACAGCAGCAAATTCTGAGGGTCTTCTGAGATGACTCTACTATTTTACAAGCTATTCATGGCATGGAGTAGGGAGAAGTTGGAAGGTTAAACACACATCACTGTCATGTTCTGGCTCAATATGATTTGTGATGCTAACGTAACTACCAGCCTTACCACCAGAGTCAGCCTTCAGCAATGGTCCTTCTCCACCCACAGGCAGTTCATTTCAAAGGACATTCCCTTGTCCCCTGCCCAAACATCTCTGTCAAGTCAGTTTGCAGAGACCTTATCATAGAATCATGGAATCATTGAAATCATTATCCTTGGAAGAGACCATTAAGATCAATGAGTCCAACCATAAACCCATTACCACCATCCCTGCTAATCCATGTCCCTAAGCAACTCCTCATCTACAGTTTCTTGAACACTGCCAGGGATGCTGACCCCCCCCACATCCCTGGAAAGCTTGTTCCAATGCTTGAGTGCTCTTTTTGTGTAGAAATTCTTCCTAATGCCCAACCTGTCCTTTCCCTGGTGCAGCTTGAGGCTATTTCCTCTTGCCCTACTGGTAGTTATTCTGGAGGAGAGACTGACCCCGGCCTCACTACACCCTCCTTTCAGGCAGTTGTAGAGAGCAATAAGGTCTCCCTTGACGCTCCTCTTCTCCAGACTAAATAACCACAGCTCCTTCAGCTGCTCCTCATAAAGTCTCTGCTCCAGCCCCTTCACCAGCTTCACTGCCCTCCTTTGGTCACGCTCCAGCACCTCAATGTCCTTCTTGTAGTGAGAGGCCCAAACCTGAGCACAGTATTCGAGGTGCGGCCTTCCCAGCACTTCTCTCCATTTCCTTCTCTTCCAGCAGACAGAGCAGCACGGTGTGGCTCTGCGGGTGCATGAACGTGACCATGCTAAGCTAAAGACACAGCTGTCGACAGGGACTTTTCTCATGTAAAATCTGGCACAGGACTTGATGCACTGAGTCCACTGCTGACCAGGTATGGGGTACCTGAGGTTATCCATTTACATGGCAGCAGCCTGACCACTGTGCAAGCCAGGGAGGCCACGTTTTCCCTGTGCCAGTGACCGGTAACGAACGTGCTGAGCACTGCTGGCAAGGAGAGATTAACCACACTGCTACAGAGCCGACTTGATGATACATTTTATTGGCAGCACTTGTGTCATATGCAGGAACCACAACCCTTTGTCAGACTGTTAGTGTTAACTTGCATGACAAGTATCAGCGACCAACTGTATTTGAAATATCGTTAAAGTGCCTAGAAATAACAGGCATTAAAAAAAAAAGGAAAGTCATTTCATCCACTCAAGGCAACCTTTACAGATCTTACATCTTTAGCACAACGATGTACAGTAACTGTTATGTGGACTTTAAAGTAGCCTCCACGGCAGCACACAGACAATGCAGTTCTCTCATTATGCACATGCTCTAGGATCGTTTATTTTAATGCTTTCAAATAAATATGTTCCATGCAGCACACCGCAATAAATAAGGAGCAGCAACTTTCGTATAGTACATCCATTCATAATGTAAAAGTCACCATGTGAAACACCACATCTAAAGTCTTTGGCCCAGGCCCATACAGTGAAGCATACTACATCTGCACATAATCATATCTGGCTTCATATGGATTCAATAGGACTATGCCAGAAGGGCAATGTGAGCACAAGTTTAACCAGGGGTTCCTAGCTATTAAATACAGCTACTAAGTAGTTAAAAGGCAACAACTAAACCCATAAAGGTTTGATTTGTCTTTTCTTCCTTACGTTTCAGACAGAAATCTAAAGCACGGGAATGCTCTGGATGCCGCAAGCCTCGTGCGGAGCAGCGCAGCGTGGGCTCCTCAGTGGCAGGGCGGGCGCACGGACAGGCGCTCAGTGGGAAGGGGCCGCCGTCGCCGCCACAGGGAGCACAGTGGGCGCCGCACGGCCTCCGCCTCTAGGCCGGCAGCTCCCCCGCTCCTTCCTCCTCGCTGTCGGCCCGGTTGGCGCGGATCTCCACCAGGGTGCGGGCGAAGCGACTCCACTCGTCGTTGTGCGGGACAGCGAGCTAGGAGAGAAGCACCACAGGGCACTCAACGCCCCCGCCGGGGGCTGCTGGCACCAGCTACCTCACGGCGGTGCCTCCTGTGGGGAGGGCCTGCGCTGGGCGCAGCAGAGCAAGAGGTGGGACAGTGGCACCAGCTTCGCACGAACGACCCTGGGGCTGGGTTACTTCTACAACCCCAACCCACAGCCAAGAGCCGGGACAAACCTGGCAGCCTCCTGATCTGCACAGGCTGCAAGGAGCTTTCACAGTCAGCGGCAGAGAGAAAAGCTTCATCTGCTCTGCTCTAAGGAAAGGGCTCTTAAAGCTGGAGTGTTGTTGCAATATCTGCCCCTTCGTTACCACAGCTCAGGTTTTCCCAGCTAATGCGAGGCCTCTACAAATACATACACTTAGGTTTAACTTTACACATGTGAGCTGTCCGTTCAAAGCCAGTGAGGCTGAGCCTACATATAATTATTTGCAGGACTGAGGTCAATGTGCATTAAGGTAACAGAGGCTTTAGAGCCCTGTATTGAAACTATTTTCCTGAAGTTCATTAAAGCTCTTAATAGTTAAAAAAATATATTGTGTTATTTTAGTTACCCTCTTCTATGTTAAGGAATTTACAATTACAAGAAATGCATTCTAATGGAAATGTTATGCCAAGTGGATACTGCATTACTGGCTTGATTTTTTGAAATCATCATGCAAGATCCATTTCCATTTAATACCATTGATGTTTCTAATAAAGAGCTGTTGAACATTAGGCTTCAAGAGGAACATGTAATCTAAATAGCTAAACTTCCAGAAAAAAAAAAAAACCTTTAGTGATATGGCAAAATAATACTGCAGTCATTTCCAGCTGGATACAACACTGCAATTTCTGGAAGATAATGCAACCTGGGATTGAGACAATTATGAAAAAATCCAACTAGTTCTCTCAAAGTACATTTTCATCAACTCGAATTCCAGAAAATGGTGACAAGTATCCAGATTAACTATGTAAAACCATTTTTACTGCTATCTTAAAGCCCTGTGATCATGTCCTGGATATAATACGAAAAAAAAAAACCAAACTGTTTAAGGACATTATGCAGTGCTTGGTACTGAATAAGGCAACTCTCTGGCAAGACGGAGCAGGGCATCCAACAAACTAATTGCTGTGCACATTAGCACAAGGAACACCTTCACTCTACAGAATGATAGTGCCCACAGCCAGTCCAGCTTGTGGTCCCCATATACAGCCCATATGGGCTCAGTTCTTACCAACAGCACCAGGGAAGACACGCAAGCAGCACACAGGTTGTGCTCACGTGGGACTAGCAGAGGCCAGGGGGCCGGGAGGCAGGCGAGACACGGCCTGGCAGCACAGCAAGCCCTCTCGCCTCCCTTCACCTCCATCTGTACAACTGCAGACTCAAGACAATCCTGTGTTTTGGGAACGAGTAAGCTCTGCTGGGGCAGGAACTTGCACCTTGGCCTAGTGTACCTACGTGGTAGAGCGTTCCAGGTCCAGTGCCACAAGCTTCATGTTACTCATGCAGGAAGGTGTTTGCAATACTGGGCCTAAATATCTCCTCCACATATCACTGCAGAGCATGAGTTTTCTCAGCTACTGCATGTCTGGCTTTTTCCCTAAGCCCAATATTTAGGGGAATATAGTATGTATTTCAAATAATATAGTATGCGTTTCCCCTTGCATAGAGCATACACCAATAATGCAGTTACATCAGGAAAGCTGGTTTACAGTCAACAGTTCTCACCTGTTGAAATACTGAGTATTGAAATCGGGCTCAATATTTCCTGAGGTTACAGCTGGAGGAATACAATCTGTGTGACGCTACCTCAGTCCTGATTCATAAGTGTTCCTTAACTCTTGTGGGTTCTGGGTTCCTTAACTCTCTGGGTTCTCCCCTTTCCTTCTTCCCCTTTCTGCGTTTTTCTGACTTCTCTCAGGAATACAGAGTTTCAGGAATAAATCGCATGAGCCTCTCATGCACATGCACACAGCGCGCTTTATCTGAAATAAATGTTCTTTGAAAAAGAGCTGTGAGCTGAACAAGTTGTGAAACCAAATGCAGGTTAGCACAGCCTTGGTCCCAGCCACACACCTGCCTAAGCGACGGCCCGCTGAGTGAAGGGACTGAGCAAAGATCCTTTGGTCACACATGAAGAAAACGCATCCACGTAGCAAATTCACTGATACTGCTGCTGCTGCTGTCCTTAGAGATTACTTCTTGTGGTATGTATGGCACTGTCATTTAGCTAACTGCTGAATGAAAATATGACATGTGTCTGACTTACTTAAAGTAGTAAAATCATGAAAGTGGAACAATATTCAAGGCAAAGGATTTATGAAATTAATAAAACCATACTTCTTGTCTGTGAAAGGCCTTAAATGGCATTATGCTGCATTAAGTGGCTCAAGAAGACACTATGCCATTCTAATGTTAAAAAAAAAAAAGAAAGAAAAAGAAAGAAACAAATCTATTACACTGAGATCATTTAATTCCCTTTTCTCCCTAGCACGGTCACAGACAAGTAAATACAAAGGCCAGATTATTAAAACAACTTTAGATCTCAGTTTTGAAGATTTTCCCTGCAGATGGACATATGCATTACACTTAACAGTGTTTGCAGGCCTTTTAAATGATTTTCTACATAAAACAATGATTGAAATGGATACATTTAGTATACAGTGTTCACATGCAATCTAATTATTTTAAACTTTGCCTTATTTTACCTCATTTAATCTCATTGACTGCATGTATTTTGTCAATCAGAGGCCAATCCTGCTAACCAGCTGTTGGCGGAGCAAGTCTCTCCAGTGTAAATTCCTTAGGGATGAGGAGGGAAGTCTTGGCCATAGGGAAGTCAAGGATAAAACTGACTTTTATTCCCCCACTTTATTCTGTGAAGAGTCTAATATTCAACCACAATAGGTACAAACAAAACTGACCGGGGATGCTTCCCACGCAAACGCTGGAGGCCCGTGTCTCTCTATGAACCTTCTTACCAACTTTTCTGTGCTCACCTTGCAAATCCCGGGGCGGAGGCCAGAGCTGGTAAGGAGCTCCTCACTCTTCTGGCATCCTGGCTGTTTTTCTGCCCACTTCCAGCAGCTCAACGCAACTCTTTCTTGTAGAGCGCCCGCAGTCACAACTACTACCCAGACCGGAAATGTTCACTTAATACGTTTGGGTCATAAGGTTATTTGAATCAACTGGCAGTAAGGAGCGGAACAAGCACATAAATGTTATTAAGTGCTCTCCTTTGATCCCTCACAGTGGAGCATCAGCCCTACCTGCAGCTGATTCACTGACTGAATTACTCACTCCGCTTTAATCCGAAAGCCATGAGGTTATATTTCAGTTGGGTCAGATGATAGTAATTGTAATGAGGCAAAAAGAGCATTATCAAAGCAGCATGCTGGATTTTGCCAACCCTGGTCTGGTAAGTTGTTGTAAGACGGGTAGTTTTACCTTCTGTCTGGTTTTAAGAATATCCAAAGAGCTTAAACTGAAGGCCTGCAAACTGGCAAGCATGGCCATGAGTTCACACATTCAAATAAACCTCCGTGTGCACTTGTACTTGTGCTCAGCTGCTTACAGGAGGGAGAATTTTGAACAG